TCCAACGATGAAGACTTCCAACCACAAATATGAAAGCTCCTCTAGCTTTGGTAGGGAAAACTGAGATCATGTGGTAAGTATGTAAAATAAACCATTTTTAACCTCGTAAAAGGCTTCCTAATTCAAAAGCTATTTGAAGCAACGAAACTCCTCAGTTTAAACTAACAAGTTCCCCATCTCATTTATCCTGGCACTTCAACCACTTTAGTGCTTTAAAATGGTTTTCAGATCGACAGGATCATCAAACGCCTCCAAGAAGTAGTAGAACTTCTTAATTTGTCTTGCAAAAAGTCTTATCAACTAGGCTGTATCTCCTGATCAGGCGCATTGTCTAACCTTTGCGCTAATGCACGCCTTGATGTCAAAAGTCCAAGTTCCATCAGCCAGAAAGTCGTCTTTAATTTAATATGGCACACTAGCTTTCGACTGCACCCTCGGCAGGGTTTTGAGGATTAACAATAGGAAGCGACACGCATTTTAGTGTTCTATCAGTTCAACTATGATGCGGTTAACTCAGAAACTATGATAAGCTTCACTGTTCCTGCATCAAAAGGGGCGGCGAGTTTAACCCAGCCAAGGGACTCATATGCCCACTCAAGACATCGCGGCCCATTCCAACAGTCAACAAATCTATTATGTAGCCCGCTCTCTTTTGATGGTGAAAGTAAACACACACAAGTCAGACCCGCCAACCATCAGCTCCTATGTGACTGATTGAAGGTACTTGACCTCAATGTCACTGCGTCCTCTCGGCAGAATTTAGTTTAATCTAGAGTTGCGCCCGGCTTGAAAACAGAATTTGACGATTGAGACTTCTACTAATCGGTGTGACACTGGTCGAAAAACAGATTAGCGTAACAGAGCACGGACTTCATCACAGTAACCTAAGAATAAGATTGTGGACATAGTAAGGACAATTTTCAGCCTCTCGGTTACGATCAAAGTGAGAGATTTTTCCTGCCCCACTGCATGTGCTTCACTAACACCCTTAAAATGCACTGCAAAGAGAGGGAATCGGGATAGAGGTCGTTCTAAAGTCGGGTTCATTTTGCCTTGCCCCAGCATAGTGTTCTAAGACTTCTTATTACTCGAACACGACAAATGCATTCAGTAAGAAGGAAGTGCTCTGGGGTTCTCTCCAAAGCCCTGAGGCCAGCCTGCTCGGACTAGGCACTGCGGCTATGCAATTGACGGCAGTCAATAGTGTAACGAAAAGACATTTTATTTAGACTCCGTGAGGTGTGTATGCGTCATTCAAAAGTCTTGATTACTCCTTTTATCTGTTCTGCAGTTTCAGCCGCCTGAGGATTAAAAAATCTCGAGATTGTTTGCCCTTCAATAGCTGCCTTGCAGTTCCGATAGTGAACGTTGGAGGATGTTTACATACAATTTCACAATTCACCCTCTAACGAAACACTAACGCAAATGGAAAACTTTAATCTTATTCACCAAATATGCATTGTATTGAGGAAAACTCTTACTTTACGTAGCCGCAGGGTCGTAAGAATTCACAAAGACCTTTTTTGAGTTCTCAGGTCCACTAGCAAATTCAATTCCCGTTGACCGTAGAAGCCCGCGGCGAATTCGATGAAACAGGGACGTTGAGAGGGAGCAAGTGGTGGTAGTAGTAGTAGTTAACAGGGTTAAGGATGAGGAGAAAATCGACAATAGAAGCGTGTCGTCCTTATTTTGCCCCAATCCACCACTTCTCTCCCAAGGGAGTAGGAGTGCGTGGTTTCATTCCGTCCCTTTAAGTATCCCTAGTCGTTGAGCAACAGCCCAAATTCAAGAAACGATGGCGTACCCACAGAAATTCTTCCAATGGCGCAGTTTTCAAGTGATTTACATAACAATGGAAGAGGTGAACAGTAAGTTATAAGTTCTTTTAAGTATGTGCAGTAGTGAGGCAATTTTAGAATGAGAAGTCTGCTCAATAACAGTGTTATAATCTAAAATGTACAAAACGATCTCAATATCATTTCAATTTAGATCGAAAAGGATGTAGAACCAAGCTCTTTAAACTCAAAACCATGGAGATAGACATCCCAGCAACGACCGCAGATAGCCAAAACTTACGCCTTGGAAGGTGATTTAAAGGAGGATTTGCATCACTTCATCGCCGAAAGGTTGATATGCATTGGCACCTCAAGACTTGATGTTGCCGCTCAGAAGCACTAAGAATGTTTATCCAAGGCATGCAGAAACGTTGCTTATGAACGTTTTTATTAGGGCTTGTCAACTAATTAAGTAGTGCAGAATGAAAAAGCTGTGCCTTTTACCGATAAACATCGAATCTTGCGCACTTTTATAGGCTGCACCAATTTGCCATTTTTAATTGAAATTGGTGGATAACTAAGTTGTTTGTCTCCTCAACGTTTGCATGATAGTAAATGGCTGATTACTAATGGAAAAAGGAAAGTGCAAGCATCCCAGATGATATGTGAACACAGTGGGACGCTTAAGTGCCACCAACTTCTAGTTTGCATCACCTTTTAAGCCGAACATTTGAGTTGGGTGTTTAAATGCCTTAATTTTACTTACCTGCCACTTTTGTAGGCACTGAACGGGTTATTTTATTGTCAGAAGTTGGACGGGGCAAGGAACGGTATTGGTCTCACTTGTAAATGGATGTGAGGGAACAGATGTGTGGATGGGAAGACATGACGTGTTTATTATTTTACCTCACTAAACTAATGACTGACGAGTTTTAATCATCGCAGCGGCTATATTTCTAAACTTCTCCCATGAGGTTTCATCAAAATACTCATTACGCAGAACAGCACGCGAAGTGTTGATAATACCATTATGCGACACACAAATTTTTGCGTCTTTCCAGCCCTACCACCTGCACTGAAGTCTAATTAGAAGAGCACACCATGTGGCTACTTTCATTGCGTTTCGCAAGCACGAACTTAAAGGGATAGGGAGGAGCGAGTTGTAGGAGGAGAAAGGGCGAGGGAGGGGGTCGGTGGACTCAAGAGCACGCTCACGCCAATGGACAGCTCTCAGTCTCACCCATGTTCCCGTTCCAACAAAAGGCGGGGGACGGCATACTTCCTCCAAGGGCGAACGAAGAGGTTGGAGGAGAGACGCACTCATTGGTCACTTTGAGTGGGTTTGCGGACACTTGTGATTGTGACCTGTTGCTAAAGAAAAACACTACCAACTGATGGAGGATGTAACAAAAGACACTCTTAGTTTGATTGTCGCACAGATCTGGTGAGTGTCAATTTGTTATTGACGTTTCCAGTCTGCAAAACGCGTATTGACCTTGAGTGTAGAATCGTAGAACTGTGGCATAAATTTGACAATTTTATAGCGCAATTTTAGTCTTCAACATGAATCATAGCACGCTTATCGAAAAGAATCACAAATCTTTTTAAGGGATCATTTCATTAATACGAACTGATATGTTTATGAGTGGTCGGAAATATTCGGATCGAAATTGCTGTCTGTTGTATTGCTTACTCGCAGCAACCCGCAGCACGGAATGGTGGAAACATTCAACTGTGCGGTAAAAAGTCGAACTCTCTGCCACTGGTTGGTTACACAATGCAGATGTATTGCAAACAAGGGAGGGTCAAAGAAGCCAATTTCTGACTCATACAGTTACAACATGTTTGCATTGCCTGCGGTTTTCGATGTCTTTGCAGAAGTGAGCAATACTGAGGCAGTTGGGCCATGCTGTTCAGTCATTCTTTCCCAAACTCAAGATATGTTTGGTTTATCAATGAACATCCCAGTATGCATAGAGCTTAAATTGATCAGCAAAAAATTCGATCTTTTGTGAAAGTTTCCCTAAATTTTTAGTCACTGATAATTTTCACATATGGCAAATTCTGCGTTCCAGCTCATAACATCGATTGCGCACAAGAGCTTCAATGTTCAAAATCAACCCCCATAAGGGAAACACTTTTCCCGTGTGTGCTAGCTGTCATTGCTCAATCTATTCAAAGTTCCTCCTCAGACTTTCGCAAGTTTCGAGTGTTGACGATGGGGGCGAACTAATTCATTTCCACGTGACGTGTCTCCGTTGCTCCCGGTGTGGTTTCCATTTGGACGAAACTGACAGAAGATGTTGGGCTAACCGTCACTTTGGAGTCCTGTGTCAGTCCTGCTACAAAATGTGAGCCAACTCTTTTCATTACCTTACTGCACTGTTGAAGCTTACTGACAGTCATCCTAAATGTCCCACTTTTCCGTCTTCAAAAAAGTGGAAAGAGTTTAAACAAAATAGCTCATATAGGCACTTTTTAACAATGTTGTATAGAGGAGTGAACACGGCTGAATAGACTAGACTACAAAAATAATGAAACTGCGTAAGAGTACATCATTTTAAGCTTCCTCTTCGATCACTGTAGGATGACACACTGCGCCAAATGTAAGCTATGGATGCCACAAGGGTCGTTGGTGCAACGCATCTTCGACTGCGTCTTTCATTTGGACTGTTTTACTTGCTCTCGTTGCAACTGGCGACTGCAGTTCGGCGAATACATTGCATTTGCTGAAGGTGAGGTATACTGTGCCTGGCATTTTCCACATCTCCTACCTTCTGCGTCGGCGCAACCATCGTCGAAGCTTTCTGGAACACCGTGGAGCGATCCAGAGCAAACAAACGCCGACTCCAATGAAAATTTAATCACGGACGAAGTCTTCGATGGGGGTTTGTGCCTTATTTTGACTTTTCACAGCATGCACTTACATGTTTCGGAATATTATTGCTCCTATCAATA